AGCAAGGTAGCTGACGAAATCAAACTTTCAGAATTGTAACATCAACTTCAATCCTAACCTGGTCTTGATATACTTATCTAATGGCTCTAATATTTTACAAGGTTATAGATCTATGTGTTATCTTCATATAGGTTTAAACCTCACTCAATTTAGAGCTATGTAGCTCGAGTTATGCCAATTTTACTAAACGCTGAAATCTGGCAGCGCACTTGAGCGTGCTCTTCGAACACATTTTTCACCCAGTAACGCGATTAAGCGTACTGGGCGCTTGAGCATCCAGAGGAAAAGAATTTGGCCTTCTCCAGGTCTTCAGTACGCTTGAGCGCCCAGAGGCGGAGAATTTCACTTTATTTCACACACATAGCGCGCTTGAGTGCCCTCCACCAGGGGAAGACTTGGTCTCCCCTATTTTTGGTGATTTTCTTAGGGAAATTTCATTCCCCCTTTATTTTTCATAAGTCATAATACCTAATTGATAAGGAAAGGTCAACCATGGTCACACACCGTGTGACACCTACATCCCACAATCACTTCACCAATTCATCATGCAAATCAAAATGATAAACATAACTTCATATTCATCAATATATTAAAGTCTCAATTACATCAATGTTCTTCCAAATTTCATATACATGCCAAGGGACTTAGCTACCAAAATAAATATGATCAAAGCAATTAGTCATACACAATATACCAATTACTACTACAATGATCATGCACTAAGTCCTCCAAAATACATTATATAGCCTCAAAATAAACACATATACACATGATGGTGCCATTGGCCTACACATATAACAATTCTAAATGGCATGTAACCCAAAATGTCCAGCTATCAGGTACAATCTACTCATGTTTTTTGCCTTGTTCAACCTCACTATACCAGTACCTGAAATGATGCCCCACAACACGAGGTGAGATATATGAATATATCACAGTAAACCAGAGGTCCTTGGAGATCACTCCACCCATAAGGTTCACTTTCGGTGAACACATAATAATAACAACTTAACACATTCTTATCCATAAACGCATGGACTTCCAAGAGAGATCCTCAAATGGCTATTTCTCTTAGGTGCTCATCACAAGGAGATCCGCATAAAGTTGTTTCCAAGCTAAGTCCACAATCTCACACTAATGACTTCCAAGAGATATTCTCAAGGGTTGTTTCTCTTAGGCTCTTACCACATGGAGATCCACATATGGCTATTTTCAAGGGAAGTTTCTACCAATCATCCTCATCATAATACTAGGCATTTCCAAGAAAGATCCGCAAAAATACTATCTCTCTTAGGCTCTCACCACAAGGAGATCCGCATATGGTTGTTTCCAAGGGCAAGATAAACCACCTGAAGATCCTCATAGGGCTGTTTCTAGGGGAATTCCTTACTGGCATGATGTCTTCAAGATGTATCCTCAAGGGCTGTTCCTCTCAGGTAATAACCACAAAAAGTTCCCCTTAGGGTTGGCTCCAAGGAAGACTATACATCCATCATACTAGTTACATTCATTGGACTGATCCAAGGAGTATTCAATCCTTTCTCATTTATCAGTCACTACCTCATCTCTCAACTATCTACATAACCTCAATCTTAATCCTCAATCATACCTCATTCATTATTTTTACATCTATCAACCATTCCTCAATTACTCTTAAATAATCAAACATCAATCAGTGACCATTAAGCAATCATAACATTTTTCAATGCATGAGCATACATCTACATCATCTTTATATATCACATCTTATAAACCATTGCTCCTCAACGGAGTGTGGTGGAACATTCAAGGGATCAACCCCAAGGTCCGAAGGTTTACCTTACACTTGACCATTCCTTAAAGCATTCCTTTCCTCAGTTGAACACAACCACAAAGATTGGTCCCTCCACTTGCCTCAATCTTAGCCATACAAGGGACACCATTAAACATATAACCAACCAAAGCTAACAATGCAAGAAAATTCTCAATTTCAAGCATAGATTTCTCCAAATATCAAAACATATAACCCTAAATTCTCAATTTCAAGCATAGATTTCTCCAAATATCAAAGTATACTAAAATGACAATCTAAACTAATTTCTACCATTTATTTATCATTCCTAACAATATTTCCAACGAAATTTAGCCTCAATCTTACTCAAACTCATAAAACGGACAAAAAACACTATTCATTATCTTCAACCTCTGGAAAACTACATGAAAACTAAGTTGGAGGAGTGGAAACTTACCACAATAGGTCACACAACCAAGGAATAAATGTCTCCTAAGCTCTCATGGATGAAAATGCCCCCAAACTCATTCAATCTTCAAGGAACTCAAAATCTTTGGCAGGAGAGATCTCGTTTCACAAGGCTTCCCACTCAAAACCAAACTAGAATTTGCAACGAGGGAGTCTACGTTTTTGGCTTTGGAACGGATGGATTTGGTTGAGAAATGCGGAAGCTAGGGTTTAAGCTCCAAAATGGGTTCTCTCTTCCTCTCCCTCTGTCGCATGATGAAGAAGAAAGAAAATGGGGAGGGTTTCTTGTGTTTTTACACTTACATATGTTAAGTGGGTTTTAATCGGGTAAAAATTTATCTATCTATTTATCTTCATTCACTACCAAACTTTACCCAATAAACTAGAATATTTTTTCAGTCCTATATCTAGCTTTACTTTTATTTTTTGGGTAAATTTGTCTACGTATATTTTTACCCCATAAATATCAATGACCGCACTTTTTACCTCAAAAATTCCCTTGACTCATTAATTTTAATCTCTTACTTAATTCTTCCCACTTATACATGCTTAATTACAAGTAATTAATTAAATTCTTAAGTTAAGGGTATTATACAGGGCAACGATAAGTTCATACTATTGCAATAGATAATGTTGAGGCCAGAAAGAGAATGTTAAATGCTTTCAGGAAGCACCAGCCGCCTACTTTCGATGGTGGTTATAACCTTGTTGTCGCTGGTACTTGGCTACAAGATTTAGAGAGGATTTTCAAGGTGATGGAATGTCGGGATCATCAAAAGCTATTATATGCCACTCATTCAAGCCAAACTTTCAAAATGAAAACCTAAAACACCTATTATCATAAAAACCTTTGAAATGCTTGTATCTTAACATGAACAAACCTAGTATCATGCAAGGAAAGGATTGCAAGCCTCCAAATAGATCAAATCACTCTCCAAGTCCTTCAATCACAAGTGGGTCGCCACTTTCCCCACTATTTTTCTCTCAATGCAAGGTTTTTTAATGGAAAATGAATTATAGGTTATGTTCTCCTCACAATTCTAAGCAATTTTGGTTCAAGAACCAAGTAATTTCGTTGAGAGATGAATGAGTTAAGTTTTGAGCTCCAAGAGCAACGGTCTTCGGGTTTGCTCTTTGCCTTACGCGAAAGAGATGAAGAAATAGTGATATTTTCGTAAAAGTTATTTCACTTACTTTAGTTAAGTTACTTTTCACTGGATAAAAACTTATCTATCTCGTTATCTTAACTCTATTTTAAACTGGTCTTATGTGTTCAGAATATTTTTGCAGTAACATTCCCCAATTTATTTTTAAGTTTTGGATAATTTTACTTACACGTATTTTTACTTCAAAACTCTCACTAACTACACTTTTTAATCCAAAAATGACTTTAATATATTTAATTAGACATTTTACTTAATTACACTCAATTCTGCATGATTGATTATTTAATTAAATACAATTTCATAATTACACCGGTTAAAATTATTATATTAACCAAGGGTCCTGTTGTATGAAATTTGAGTTTTCAAGGGGTTTAGTTTTATTTCCAAGCTTTTGGTCAGCGTCGTTTTATGTTGAATTAATTTAGGGTTTTATATATATCATGTTGTAGGAAACTTGTAACATCATGTCACTCTCATAAAAAATAATGGCCCCACCTTGTTTTCTTTTTTTTTTCTTTCTTTTTTTTTGAGTGGGACCCACATCAAATGTATTAGAGTAACATGACACTACAAGTTTCCTACAACATGACATATATAAAACTAATTAATTTAAGGGGGAAATGTGTATTAATTTAAATCACATAAGTTATATTATTTTATAAATGTAAAAAAATATCGGTCCCATTGAAAAAATTAAAAATAAATAAAGATGTGAGTTTCATTTCCTTATATTCACAAAATAACACGATTTGAATAATTTAAAATTTAAATAAGATACATTTGGATGTTTGGTAGAAGAGAAAATTTTTTTTATCTGAGAATCTCAATTTTTAAGAATATAATTTTTACACTCAATTTACGATAATATTCAAAAATTAAAAATTTAAAAAAATTTAATTTCCCGACAATCCTCAACAATAATGTGTACTAAACGTCACCTTAAATTAATATATAAAACAACATACTATATGAATCTAACTAGTTCCAGGATCCGTGCATCTTACGGGCTCGTTTCTAGATGTATACATATTTCTAGGACACATTAACATGATTACTTTTCCTTTCCTTTTTTTTTTTTTTTCTTTTCTTTCGACATGATTTCAGCTGCTGGGAAATTTCCGCTTTATTTATTTGACCATTGGATAATGGAAGTTTCCATTCGATGGGTCACAAAATAATTTCCCCGCGTGTAGTTTTTTCTTGTTTAAAAAATAATATTAAAGTTATCGTAATTTCAATGTTTGACTCTTCAATAGCCGCCTGTTTTAGGAATCAAATGTATATAACAGAGAAATGTTTTTCCATTCCAAACTCATTACCCATTGCCATTCTCATTCTCAGGGAGAGAAAAAAAGCTGAATACACACTTCCCATCACAAACAACACACTTTTCTCTCTCTTTTTTCTTTCTCTTTTTTCTTTTTTCTTTTATTTGGTTACTTCATTCTTTAATTCTTTCGCTTATTTGTGTGGGGGGTTCTACAAAGAAGCATCGTTGAAAAAAATCTGTGTTCATTTTGAGCCTTGACGAGGAAGAAAAAGAAGAAGAAGAAACAAGGTGGTGGGGTTGTTGTTGTTGTTGAGAAAGAGCAACAATGGAGGGAAATGATATATACAGAGCAAGTAATAGTTTAAGAGCAAGAAGTTCAACAGTTTGGAGAAACAGTGGCGTTGAGGTATTCTCACGGTCATCGCGTGAAGAGAACGACGAAGAAGCTCTGAAATGGGCTGCACTTGAAAAGCTTCCCACTTACAACCGTCTCAGGAAAGGGTTGTTGACCGCTTCACATGGAGCCGCCAATGAAATCGATGTCACTGATATTGGTTTTCAAGAGAGACAGAAACTGCTTGAGAGGTTGGTCAAAGTAGCTGAAGAGGACAATGAGAAGTTCTTGCTGAAGCTCAAAGAACGAGTTGATAGGTATAATATTCAAGGATCCACTCCTCTTCCTTCCTTCCTTCCTTCCTTCCTTCATTCTTCTCACTTTAATTTACTCACTCATTCATTCACAATATCTTATCTTATGATCTCTAATAAGTTCCTTTTATTTTATTTTATTTTTATCTTTGCAGAGTTGGGCTTGATATTCCAACAATTGAAGTTCGATATGAGCACCTCAATATTGAGGCTGAGGCTTTTGTCGGAAGCAGATCTTTGCCCACTTTCATCAACTCTGCTACTAACGTTATTGAGGTAAGGAGAGGCATATTCTACTTCATCAATTTTATTTTATTTTTTTAATCTTTTTTTGTTTCTTTGTTCTGTTTTGCAATTAATTAGTCTCACAATCTTTCTATGTTTGGCCCTTCCAGAGTTTGCTGAATCTGCTCCATATCATCCCGAGCAAAAAGAAACATGTCACTATTCTTAAAGATGTCAGCGGCATCGTCAAACCTCGCAGGATGACACTGCTCTTGGGTCCTCCAGGTTCAGGAAAGACCACACTCCTTTTGGCTTTGTCAGGAAAACTTGATTCAAGTCTTCAGGTGAAAGGCATTTCCCTTAAATATTTATTATTTGTTAATTGACAAACATACTATATTTCTTTCTTTCTTTCTTTTTTCAACCTAATTTGGATACCGATGCGTCTTTCAGGTATCTGGGAGAATGACTTATAATGGGCATGAAATGAACGAGTTTGTACCTCAGAGAACTGCTGCTTACATCAGCCAGCATGATGTTCATATTGGAGAAATGACTGTGAGGGAAACCTTGGCTTTCTCAGCAAGGTGCCAAGGAGTCGGATCACGTTATGGTTAGTCCATTTTTTAACACCTGCCTAATGTTTTCAAAATCTAATTTGGGATATATATAGCCTGAGCTTGACTGGTTATTGTTTTTGGGATCCAAACAGACATGTTATCTGAGTTGTCAAGAAGAGAGAAAGCAGCTAATATCAAGCCTGATGCTGATATTGATTTCTACATGAAGGTGAGATAAAGAAGCTATTATCAATCTTCATTTAAGTGAAAAAAATATTTTTTAATTTACTAATATACTTTAGTAATGCATATATTATCTTTGCATCTGATTGTCTTTTGATATAACAGGCAACTGCAACTGCAGGCCAGGAGTCAAGCATAGTAACCGATTACACACTAAAGGTAATACTAAAATAAGGTTCAATTTAGCTTAGTTAATTAGTTCTGTCATGACATGTCATGTCATGTCATGTCATGCGTTGATGTTTGTTATGAAAGCCAAGGTATTTAGTTATTTAATGTGTAATCTTGCAGATTTTGGGGTTGGATATATGTGCTGATACTATGGTGGGGGATGAAATGTTGCGTGGGATCTCTGGTGGACAAAGGAAGCGTGTTACCACAGGAGAGATGCTTGTTGGACCAGCAAATGCTCTATTCATGGATGAAATCTCAACTGGTTTGGACAGTTCCACTACTTTTCAGATAGTGAGCTCTCTGAGGCAATATGTTCACATTCTTAATGGAACTGCACTTATATCACTGCTCCAGCCAGCACCTGAGACTTATGATCTTTTTGATGACATTATCTTAATCTCTGATGGCCAAATTGTGTACCAAGGACCCCGTGAATATGTTCTTGATTTTTTTGAATCTATGGGTTTCAAATGTCCTGAGAGGAAAGGTGTTGCTGACTTCCTTCAAGAAGTTACTTCGAAAAAGGACCAAGCACAGTATTGGGCACGCAGAGATGAACCTTACAGATTTGTAACCGTAACTCAATTTGCTGAGGCATTTCAATCATTCCATATTGGTAGGAGACTTGGAGATGAGCTTGCAGTTCCATTTGATAAGTCTAAGAACCACCCAGCTGCATTAACCACTGAAAAGTATGGTATTAACAAGAAGGAGCTCTTAAAGGCTAACTTCGCAAGAGAGTATTTGCTTATGAAAAGGAATTCATTTGTTTACATCTTCAAGCTATGCCAGGTTCGTTCTATCTAGCCCACTTATATAAATAGATGCTATATTAATTTCATATTTATATAATTATTTCATATGCATGATTTTGACTTATCATTTTGCTCTTGGTGCTTTTCAGCTTACCGTCATGGCATTAATAGCATTGACACTGTTTCTACGAACTGAGATGCATCGTAATAATCAGGATGATGCCGGTGTTTATGCTGGTGCTCTCTTTTTTACATTAGTAACTGTTATGTTTAATGGAATGGCTGAGATTTCTATGACCATTGCTAAGCTTCCTGTATTCTACAAGCAACGGGACCTTCTATTTTATCCCTCATGGGCATATGCTATTCCTTCATGGATTCTCAAGATTCCCGTCACATTAGTGGAAGTTGCTGTTTGGGTATTTCTAACCTACTATTGTATTGGATTTGATCCAAATGTTGGAAGGTAAAGAAGCTGCTTTTATTTGTTAGTGGCATGATGTGAATGCTAGTTCTTGCTTTTTACTTAATACTTATGAAGTGAGGTCTTGAATTTCTTGCAGGTTCTTCAAGCAGTACCTTGTGCTATTATTTATCAGTCAGATGGCTTCTGGATTATTCCGAGCCATTGCAGCACTTGGTAGAAACATGATTGTTGCTAACACATTTGGGTCCTTTGCTGTTCTCACTTTTCTTTCATTGGGTGGCTTCATTCTCTCAAGAAGTAAGTCCAATTAACATCACAAGTTCACAACACAAGTCATCAATAAAATAATAATAATAGTTGTTGCAATTATCACATACTGAACCCTTAGCTAATGATGGTTCTTGCATTTCATTGCCAATGAAAACAGAGGATATCAAAAGCTGGTGGATTTGGGGTTACTGGATTTCACCTTTAATGTATGGGCAGCATGCTTTAATGGTCAATGAATATCTTGGGAACAATTGGCACAACGTAATTTCTTGAACTTGCAACTTTATAATTTATCTAATCTGCTTTTGTTCAAGAGTAAGAAACATTTAGTTAGGCCTAATTTATTTATTTGCTCTCCAATTACAGTCTACCTACGATTTAGGAGCTGTATTTCTGGATACCCGTGGATTCTTCACAGATGCATATTGGTATTGGTTAGGCCTTGGGGCATCGGTTGGATTTGTGTTCCTTTTCAACGCTTTGTTTGGTCTGGCTCTTGAGGTCCTCGGCCGTGAGTATTTTTCACATCATTTGAGATTAATTGTGCTTGTAAAATTCTTATAGTGATAATGATACAAGATTTTATTGATAAATATGCATTTGAATGTGCAGCATTTGAAAAGCCACAAGCAAATATAACTGAAGAATCAGATGACAGAACCGTAGAAGAAGTTGAATTACCACGCATACGTGAGCTATCTTGCTTATATCCTTCTTTAACACTCATTGGCAAAAGTTGATTAGTAATTCATAATATTCCTTCAGACAACGCTAAACATTATTTTCAATTGTGATGCAGAAAGTTCAGGAAGAGGTGATTCTGTTGTTGAGTCAAGCAACGGAAAGAAAAAAGGAATGGTTCTTCCTTTTGAACCACATTCTATCACATTTGACGATATCATATACTCTGTTGACATGCCACAGGTATGTTATAAATTTAGCATTTGCATTTCTAGCAGTGTTTCTATTTTAGCTCTGCTTGAATAAAAAACAATTTGATGAGATCAACCTGACTCATTTGATTTCAACTGTGGCAGGAAATGAAAGAACAAGGTGTACAAGAGGACAAATTAGTGCTTTTGAAGGGTGTCAGTGGTGCATTCAGGCCAGGTGTTCTCACAGCTTTGATGGGTGTGAGTGGAGCTGGCAAGACTACTCTGATGGATGTTCTGGCTGGTAGGAAAACCGGTGGATATATTGAAGGAACCATAAAAGTTTCTGGGTACCCTAAGAAGCAAGAAACATTTGCTCGAATCTCTGGTTACTGTGAGCAGAATGATATCCACTCACCTCATGTTACAGTCTACGAGTCCTTGCTCTACTCAGCATGGCTTCGTTTACCTTCAGGAGTTGATTCCAGTACCAGAAAGGTTAGTTAGTAGTTAGTACTTGCAGCATGCATAATGAAAAATTTAAGCTATTTATTTAATTGAGATTGCTGGCTTTCTCAACTTAGAGGCTGATTGTTCAAACTTGACAAATGGTTGTAGATGTTCATTGAGGAAGTGATGGAACTGGTGGAGCTTACAACATTGAGGAACTCGTTGGTTGGTTTGCCAGGCGTGAGTGGTCTCTCTACTGAACAGCGCAAGAGGCTCACTATTGCAGTTGAATTAGTGGCAAATCCTTCCATAATCTTCATGGATGAGCCTACTTCTGGGTTAGATGCAAGAGCTGCTGCCATTGTTATGAGAACTGTTAGGAACACTGTGGACACAGGAAGAACTGTTGTTTGCACCATCCATCAGCCTAGCATTGATATATTTGAAGCTTTTGATGAGGTTAGTGAGCGAGTGGTGATAATGATAAATGAAGTTGTGTTTTACATTTATATTTTCCTTCTTTCTCCATTAATTAGACTTGAATCTGACATAATATTATTATATGGGATTCTAGTTATTCCTGATGAAGCGCGGAGGACAAGAAATATATGTTGGGCCACTTGGTCGTCATTCTACCCATTTGATCAAGTATTTCGAGGTAGGATCCTACTTACATTCAATATTAACCTAAGTGAACGACCATAATATTTTTTTGTATTTACTTAAGTCTTCCTATAATTTCCATTGTCCAGAGCATTGAGGGTGTGAGTAAAATCAAAGACGGATATAACCCAGCAACATGGATGTTGGAAGTTACATCTACTGCACAAGAACTCAATTTAGGTGTTGATTTTACTGACCTATACAAGAATTCTGATCTATATAGGTAAGCTAATGCATATATATATTAGCTATTGTCATGTATAAATGTTTCCTTGATTTACAAAATGCTTAAATTGTTTTTCCATTTCATGGCTCTTCAGGAGAAACAAGCAGCTTATACAAGAACTGGGCCAACCTGCTCCTGGTTCAAAGGATCTTCATTTCCCTACTCAATTCTCACAGTCATTCTGGGTCCAATGCCAGGCTTGCTTGTGGAAACAGCGTTATTCATACTGGCGCAATCCACCATACACTGCTGTGAGATATTTCTTCACTACTTTCATAGCCTTGATGTTTGGAACAATGTTCTGGGACCTCGGAGGCAAACAGTGAGTCACAAAATATTCATATTAGATTATGTAATCTTCCTATTTGATTTCCACTCTGAATATATAATGATACCATGTGGTTTGGTGACTTACATTACGACAGCTCAAATAGACAAGACCTGTTGAATGCGGTGGGTTCAATGTCGACCGCTGCTCTCTTCCTTGGGGTACAGAATTCTTCATCAGTACAGCCAGTGGTAGCAGTTGAAAGAACTGTGTTTTATAGAGAAAAAGCTGCTGGAATGTATTCTGCCTTACCCTATGCATTTTCACAGGTAACTTAAAATCATTATCATTATTAGTTTTACTAACATTTTCATTATTAGTACTTCAGCTTGTATTGTTAACACAACTCATTCCTTTGTGTCACAGATTCTAGTAGAGTTGCCTTATATTTTTGCTCAAGCAGTGACATATGGACTCATAGTTTATGCTATGATGGGATTTGACTGGACTGCAGAGAAATTCTTTTGGTTTCTATATTTCATGTTCTTCACATTGTGCTACTTCACGTTCTACGGCATGATGTCCGTGGCAGTGACACCAAATCACCATGTTGCTTCCATTGTGGCTGCTGCATTTTATGCAATTTGGAATCTCTTCTCAGGATTTATCGTCGCAAGACCAGTAAGTGTTGCCAAACTATATATGAATTAATAATGCATGATTAATAGATGGAGATGGAACATGTTTATGTAATATAATAATGTAATGTATATTTATTTATGCTGACTCACTAAACAATTTCTTGTTACATTAACAGAGCATCCCAGTGTGGTGGAGATGGTACTATTGGGCATGTCCGGTGGCATGGACAATATATGGATTGATTGCATCTCAGTTTGGAGATATAACTACAGGAATGGAATCTGAAAATGGAAAGTCTGTGAAAGCTTTCCTTGAAGAATTTTATGGT